CTTTACACATGTCTATAATGTAAAAAGCACATTTTGTACAGTTTTCAATAAATCCTACTTTGTTTTACATTTCATTTGATCTGTGTTACACATTTTGATAACTGCACAATTTGTTCTCTGCTTTTAAAAAAGATTAAACATTTTACATCCCTTGCTACTAAAAACTCATAAATTCCCCACTTTCAGAAAACTGAATATTATCTTTCTTTAAAAAGGTACTCATCACAAATAAGGAAATATGTGCGCTGTCAAAGCTATGAATAATTGTTTGCATAAATTCCTTTTTTATAACATACAGTTCCCCTGAATGTTTTACTTTTTAAGTAAACTCAGAAATGTGAGATGAAAAACTCCAGCCTGCAGTATAACATCGAGCCGCTAGAGGGAGCTCTGCATATCATTGTGCTTTAAAAGACATGACTGAAGAGTTGCTACACACTCAAACGCTGCCATCTAGTGGATAATATTTATTATTGCATTTCTGAAGAGCGCATGGCAGCTGGCTGCATTGAACCTCAATTCGAGATTAGGTCATATCATACAGGTAAAACGCCCTGACATTTTTTTTCATACTGGTATAGTGATAAAGGGGATAAAAACAGACATTAGGAAGTCTGCCATTGGAAACAAGTCGTTTATACTCTAAGTTTTTAGACATTATACACTAAGTCTTTTTTTGACATCCTTATAACACTGGGACTAAGAAGTTTGAATGAAGCTGAAGCTTTCACTGTGAGTTTTGGTTCCCTAAAATGAACATCCTCTATGTTCTTTTGGGCCTCCCCCTCCTGCTTATGCATTTTTTCGCAAGACTTGAGTAATCATGATAGAAGCATTGACCCTGACAGTCTCTGACTGCCTGCTGCTCCTAAATAGGCACAAAGAACCACAGGAGCTCAGAAGTGACCTTACTAACTAAATCCTGTTTGCACTGCCATTTTATAATCAATTACTTCATTGTTTAAACTTTTTTTTTTTCAACAGGACAGCTAGTGAGGAGTCCTGCTTTTCTTTGTAATGATTTTATTTATTTTTGTAAGGAATGTTTTCTATGTACAAGCATACTAACAGAAGAACTTTTTTAAGAGTTTGTTGTGTTATCTCATGTATGAAAAATAACATTTTCTTAAGCATTGACTGATTGGTACAATCAAACAATAATTTAAATGTAAAACTTTCAGTTAAGATTTACAGGATTCAAATTGGAACGTATGGATCTTCTGAAACTGGCCTCAGTAGTAAGAGATAAATAACAGAAACTACAGAAAATGTTTTTGTTGACATGCTTTGCTTTGATAATGTACAAATGTGCACATTATAAGGAAATACATGGAATTATTATAATGAAAGGAATACACAGAATTAGCCTATTTTGCTAATAGTTAAAAAAAATGATTTTTTTCTGAGAGTAAAGAGATGTGTGGTCCTTTAATTTGTATCTCGTTTGAGACAAAACAAGTGAATGTGTCACATATCAGCTAACTGCTACTGGAGCTTATCCTATTTATAGACCTTTAAAAAAAACACACACACACACACAATCAATAAATGTATGAGCATACTGATTCATAATGAGTTTGACATATATCGGTATACCTGTATTGGAAACGGGCATGGATGATAGACCTCAAAACTGGTAGAAAAGAACGACTGTACAAGAAAATTTAGGGCAAAAAAAATTATGAAGTTGTATACATTTACTTGTATCACACATAACACACATGAAGAAATACTGTAATTTTGTCAAATTCTGCGAGGTGGGCTGTCCCTGTATATCACACAAATGACTGTACAGTAAGAATCCGTTTAGCTTCTAAGCACCAGATAGAAACAATGGAAGGTTAGACCCCTGTGCTCCTTCATGACTGCCTAACATGGCATCTATTAAAAGAACAATCTGCTCAAAGCAGCTATTTGTACACAGACATAAAAAAAATATTTAGTATCTCGGATGAAAAACTGTCTTTGTCTATAAATAAACACTTTTAACTTTTTTTCTATAAATATTTCTGTTTTAAAATCTCTGAAGACCTTGTTGATACCTCCAGCAGAACCAGGCAGACTTAGACTTAGGCAAGTTTTATTGTCATTTTGTATACAAAGAGTGTACACAAAAAGAAATATCATTTAGTACAGCTTTTTAGACATTAAATCAACATTTCCATTCAATTAAGTGCAGCAGTGATCAAATTTTAACAGCGTGGGAGGGGAAAAAACAAAAACAAAACAAACAAAAAAACAAAACAAAACATGGAAACCTCCAGCAGAGCAAAGCAAAATATAAAAGATGCAATTAGAAATATGTTATTGACATTAGTTTAACAAGCTCCTTTGGCTGTCGGACCCTGGCAGAACACTTTGATGCTGTAGGATGATATGCACTTAGATACATGACATACAGTAAGTAGTCTTTCCCCTGGGCCCAGACAATAAGCCAGAGGGTGAATATGGTTGAGACAGTCTTAGAAGTGAAGGGGGAGATAGGGAGGAGGTGATTAAAAGTTCGACTGCTGCACAGAACAGAAGGCAGAATGGGAGCTTAATGGGGGGCATCTTGGTGACGATTGGCTTTGGAGGGGTCATGGTCCCAACATTGATTGGCTGGAGCTTGGGTCAACAGTTGTTCCAGGTAAAGCTGATAAGAGTCTTCCAGTTTGAATTTTTGCTTAAGCTTCTGATTATTCTGATAATTTATATTGTGTATCATTTTAACCGGTCCTGCAGAAGACCGCCATGTTGAGACTGGTTCTGCCAGAGGTTACTTCCCAACGGGGAGTTTTTCCTCTCCACTGATGCTCCATGCTTGCTCATCAAGGACAGGTTCTCTCAACCTGTGTTATCCAACTGGACTTCCAGCTTCCAGGTCCCTGAGTAAAGCTCTAGTATCAGCTCACGCAATCCACTGGATCTCCCCATAAAGCTCAGCATACCATCTCGCTAACCAGTAGTCTAAAGACTGACCAACTTCATCTATCTCCACTCCACCACTAGTTTCAGGCCTGGGGGGGAAACAGCCCTATTCTTTACTCCTGTTCATGCATATCTATCAAAATTAAACTCTATGTTTCCTGCCGAGGTCTGAGCACCAAAGACAAAGTGAATGTATAAAAAAATGTCTCCTAATTATCTTTTCTCTTCACTTGAGTTTTTCAGATTGAAGTATAGATACTGCAGTTTAAAAGCACTCAGGTAAAAGTTGAAGTATCAACTTGGCCTCTTTACTCAAGTAAAAGTGAAAAAGTATTTGCTCCAAAAACTACTTAAAGTATAAAAGTATAAAGTAACCTTTAAAAAAAACAGCCAGATATGAATTGAAAGCTCAATTTGTTCGACTATTTTGAAAAAAATTTTGAGATAGGGCCAAGAATGAGGGAGGTCTTGCTGGTCTCCATCTCCTTCTCCCGATACGCTCTCGCCTGTGTCCGACCTTTCAGACATTTTAACATCTTTTTCTGAATCCGACATTGTAGCATGGCATAGACAATTCATGTTTGCAGTTTGAAGAACACCTACTTGATTTCCTTTTAAGTAACCAATGAGTGTTTGCGTTATATGACTCATCCAATTACACTACGTAGTCTTCACTAGATGTGGATGGCACCAATGATCTGCATTAAATGGCGCACATGACAGGAAATAAATATTTATAAACATTAAAGCGAAGCCAAGAGTAACGACTGACGTTACTAAGAGTAACGATTGTTTTAAAAATGTAAGGAATAGATAGTATAGATACTTGTGTGCAAATGTAAGGAGTAGAAGTCAGAAGTAGGAAGAAAAATAAGTAATGGAGTAAAGTATAGATACCTACTTAAGTACAGTAACAAAGTATTTGTACTTTGTTACTTGACACCTTCTAGTAATTTTGATGGAGTAATTTTCAGTGAGTACCATTAGGATTAGTACCGTGATTAATTAGAGACCAAGAGCATTTGTATTATTATATTCAATAAGTCTCTATTTGTTTAAGAAGACTAGATTGCTATCACACTCACTGTGTGATATATATATTACAGCCACAAAATGTTTCATAGTAAACCAGAAACTACTACATTAACCCAGCTGACTATTTAAAAATATGAAAGAGTTAAATGCAAAAGTAGAGCACAAACATCTCTTTTTAAAAGAGTCCTTTTAAACTGAAGTCATTATTACAGAAATGTTTAGATAGAAAGACTTTTTAACCAAAGACCACAGAAGCAAGATTGGTAGCTGTTGGCTTACTAATGACAGCTTTTCCAAAGAATGCTTTTGATTTGCTCTTTTATTGTTTACCGACAAGCTACTATTTTGGGAAAGGTTGTATTTTATCCTCAGTCACTGAAGTCATTATGCTTTATTGCTGACCTTTGAAATCATAGTTCCAATAGCCTTCGGCTAAAAAGAACGTAACATTAAACAGCATACAACTCACATACAGCTTGTCTCATTTCGTTTACTGTTTGTAAAATTTGTGTGAAGAAACTGAATAGCCCTGGGTTAAGAGGTTGCAGTGACGTCTAATTGTTTACCTATCAAACATGTGGGCCAGGAGCCATTGTTTGTTACCTCTTATACAAAGAAGCTTTCTGGGAGTTCCTTTTTTAACTTTTCAAAGTTTGACCATCATTCCTACAGTAGCTGCCACATTTTGTCTGTCTGTGTTTTGGGTAAAGGTTCTCATACATAGAAAAAGATCAATATAAACTTTTGAGCAAACAGAGTCCACTCTGTTTGCTGTGAATATGTCATTATGACACAGAAACAGCCGAAGGAGGTTACCCTACCCCTTTCACTTACGTGTCCACAGTCCTGCATTACTCAGGAGCGAAAATCCATGCATTACTTTTCAGTTCAATGCTGAATGTCATTCCACTCCTTCTGGTTGAAAGAGTGTGAGTTTCATTCAATATGTATCCCTCCCAAGACCTTCAAACCCCCTCAGTGCAAAAAAGAAAAAAACTATCAGAGGCTGGACTGGGGGCGGGGAGTATGGAAATGCTCTTCTGGGGAAGTGAGCACAGTGTAGTGGAATGTTGTTAGTGGGAGTTGAACTGTGGCAGGCTAACAGTTAGCCTTCTAAGCTGAGTTTGGCCAGGGATTCAAAGAAGAGGGATCAAAAATGCCTCACTTCACAGTAGTGCCAGTAAAGGATCAGGCTGAGCCCAACTATGATAGTTTAGAAGGGATAAACTGGGTTGATTACAGGGACACTGGACAGGACTGTCCTGACCATCAAGATGGTGCTGATGGTAAGTCTAGGAACTTTTACTGCTTGTTTTTGACCTAGATGGAAAATTAGCTACGGGATAAGGGGACTTTACAGCTTTTGATATTTTCTTACTTGCCTAAATAACTGCAAAAAGCAAGTTAGGTCTTGTGTGGGAGCTTTGTGAACATCTGGTTGAATGGTTACCATGGCAATAGTTTATGACGATACAATGCATTTCTAAAACAAGCAGATGTTCTCACAGCTTAATTTAGGCAAACTTACATACGTTTTCTTCTTGGATTTTTAAATATAATTGTAAATCGGTTTAGAAACAAAGGGAAAACAATAAAAGTGGTGAGAGCTTTTAGGGAAAAACACACAGCGGGGGTGGGCCTCAAGTAGCCTAGATCTTTGCACAAAAGATGGGTCTTTCTTTGTGCCAGCACTTTCACAATAAAAGACTGACTGCTTTCTCCCTTCTTGCGTCCCTACCTCGGCATGTTTTAGCTGTCATTCACTTGAGTTGACACACAAAGAGCCGGGCCATAATGCACGGTTACAACAACAGAAAGAAGACAATGAAATTTGAATGGAGAAGATAGTTTCTGGGCATGTTTTTTTTTTTTTTTGTAAAAGCAGCGTCTGTTTATGTGGGCCCGCAAAGAGAAACCACACTTTGTTTTTGTTCCCTCTCCCTGGTAAAAGACTCACAAAGGCGTGGCTTTTAAATAAGGATCCCAGTTACCCCAAGGATGGGCTGAACACAATTCCTCTCACTGACAGGTAGCATACAGTTTAAGTAACATTGTGTATGTGGTTTAACACAGAAAACATGAAAAGGACCAGAGCTAACAAAAGACACAAAACTAGTCTGTTTCTTAATCTGTAGGTTTTTAAACATGTGAATAGGTCAGTTTTAAAGAAAACTTAAGTTTTGTTTGTAATCAAAACCTGGCTTAACTGGAACTTTAATAGTAAAAACAAAGTATTCCAGGTCTTGTTGCTTCAGCTGTTGGCTTGTGTATTCCTGGAATGCACCAAAGCCGCCCAACACAGCAAAATCACCCTCTATTAGTACAGAGATAGACAAGTGTCTATCTGTCTGTGCAGAACCCTGTAACACACCACACCTATGTAGGCAAACCTGATATGATGGATCTTTTGCCCCAATGAAAGGCAACGTTTTTAGAAACTACTAATACCTAAAAGCATGACGTATCTATAGCGAGTAAAGTCTGAAAATAGAGAAGAAGGATCAAAGAATCTGAATAATGGGCAGGAGAAAAGAGCACTTATTTTGTATCTTTAAATATTAAAAACAGTTGGAATAATGGATATTTTTAAAGCATGTTTTTCTATTGTTTGAATTCAGCATTCTATAAGATGTCTATATAGATGTCAACATAAATAAAACTAGTGTTTGGGAAGTGCATGTAGAGCAGTTGTAGGCAATTACATACTTACTTATTTACTTCTTAATTTTTCCAAAATGTGTGGAAGAAATAAGGGTGGGAACAATATCAGATTGTTAAAAATAACTTACAGCATCGGAACATACTGCTCAAACGCCTAATGGGGATAGTTGGCCTGACCAGATCAGATGCTATGAGTCGCTGTTTGGGGTGTGATGCATGGAGCAAGTGACACAGTCCCTAGTCTGTTGCAGTCTCTGAACTCAGCTCTGTGAGCACAGGGCAGGACCAACATTGTGGTTATTCCACTGCTGAACTGCATGCACCTAAATAGCATTGAAACTGTTTGCTTTTCTTCTAGTTTTTCCTGCTGCCATGTCATATGCAGAAAGTAGAGCACACAGAGGCATAAAGATTTACAGAGCTTGTCTTTTTATGCTGTATAAACTTTTTTCCGCATTTAGTGTAAATTAAGAGCACTTCTGTTTAATAATGTTGTACTTTAGTAGTTTTAGGCCTTTTAAATTAATCTAGAAGGAAGTTTGGACTCAAAAGCATACAATATCATCTTATCCAAGAAATTAAAATATTTAAACATTTAAAAATATTATAGTTTTAATAAATATTATTAAGATATCCTTATATGTATAACATAAATAACATACATTTTAGGCACCATGTTTTGGGGCTAAAAGATATGAAATATTTCCAATTTTGAAACAGAATAATGAATCAGTCAAGCTACATTTGGAGATAAATATCTCCCTTTCATTAAAAATCTGAAATGACCCAAACAGCAGAGCTTCTGCAACATTGTGGTAGTAAATGAAATCTAATGTTTAAATATGATTAAAAAGTGGTAGATGAGGGTTTACAGTAACTGACTTAACTAAAACACTTTTCTTGATATAATCCTAAGCAGCTCGTATAATTAAAGCAGAAAAAACATCAAAATAAATACAATATTTTAAGAACATGCGCAAATTGTTTATCTGCAGATGTAAGCTTAGATTGCAGAGTTCTGAAGCATAAAGTGACACCAAGACAAAAGAGGGGGGGTGGTATAACTTAACCATACTGTTTATGAACGTTGTGATAACTCATACACCTACAGTGTAAGAAAATGGACTATAACTTCATGTCAGTGCAGGAATTAATCAACATTAGTCAAAAGGTACAGTACTGCATGTATGCAGCTCACACTACGCCTCACATTGCTCACCTTAAACAATGTCTAAACAAAGTATACCATCCTGCTGGAGAAAAATCTGCTTGCATCCAAAGAGCAACCAGTGGCACTAAATCACTCCAAATTGTGTGTATTGTATGAAAGGTGAATCAGGTGATTCAAAGTTGATGAGAGCATATTTTTCCTAGAAGTATTTTCTTGTGCTTGCATCATTCGGGCACTTGGTTTGTAAATAATATTCAGAAACAACTTTAAAGTGATTAAAATGCTTTATTTTTGTTTGTTTTTTATTGTGAATACATACTATTATTTAAATATTTCTAAGCATTAACATGTTTTCGAACTCTAATATTGCATATGATGCAAAAATCGAGCTAATTCCTAATTTAAATAATACTTTTCGTTTACTAGTAACTGAAGTGAAAAATGTCCAGTTTTTATGTGATTTTCTTGATGGAGCTGTGGCAGAAATTAAAGGGAAATTAGAAGATGGTTTGAGGTAGACAGAGGGATAAGACGTATTAAATTTGTACGACGATCCAAATGACCTTAGATTGGAGTGTTTGCGGTTATCTTTAACATAGTTTTTACTCAAAAAGGCTAAATATAAATCTGGGTCACTTGTATTTTTTAAGGCAATAAGTTTGGCAATAGTTTATGTTTGTCACATCCATTTATTGCCTAAACCTATCCATGCAAGCAGGGTCCAGTGGGGCTGCTGCATATCTCCATCAGGAACTGGGTGAGAGACAAGTTAGACCTTCATAGTTCCCCAAACACACTTAATAAACAACCATGAACATCACATACTAACAAATATTGGTAATTTAGTCAAAAAGAGTACAAAAAGTATGTACTCAATTTAAAGTGCATTTTCTTTAAAGAACATATGTATTTTCCAACACAACTAGAGTACAAGTTTAGGATTTTACTTAAATTAAAGCAGAAAGTCTGTCACAATTCTAGCAAAACAGAAACTTACAGTAGGTACTTTCTCATGAGCACAAGAAAATCTCTTTTGGGCATTTTAAGAGGAAGAAAAATTATATTGTTCTCAAACCATTTTAATTAAAAGAGCATCTCCATAAATTAAAATTCCCCCAAATACATATATTATCTCAAATAACTTAATACCAAGCTATTAAATGTAGACAACTTTACCTCTAAAGCAAATGTAGTTTACATTGCATTCTAAAGCTTTTTCCTCTTTGTGCTCTAAGCTAAACTGGTCTTTTCAGCATGGCAAATTGTTTCATTATTTTCTTTATTTCACTTGGTGATCAAGTGATGTTGGGTTTCTAGTTCCAGTAACATCTGATTGCTATACCTCTATAATATTGGCAATACTGTGAAACCCAGCCAGCCGACATATCGCTGCCATTTCTTCCAAGGTTTATTTATTTTATCTATATCTTTATATGTTTTCACCCCTGTAATGAATGTGGTTTCATATTTAACTAAGTAAAATACCTAAATTGTCATAATCTAAGTACAAGTGAAAGTGCAGCTTTTATAAACTTCTTAAAAAGAAAACCTAAGACAATGGTTTCTTAGAAACATGTAAATTATTATTTTCCACCGCTGTCTACTAAGACCAATTTATTTAACTAAAGTTTTTGGATTGTTGTAGAAAGTGATGCACAAGAAGTGAACCCCTGCATCCATAAAGTCCATTCAGAGCCCAGCGCTAAACCAACTTCTAACTACTGTGGCACCATTCAAGCTTCTATCACCTACTCATCCCGAAAAGATAAATGATAATGTGTGATTGGAGTGATGCTGATGTCAGGATCCAGAACAGATGACCCAGTATTCAAGGCCAGACAGACAGTGGGATAACTCAAAAAGCATTTTTTTTTTTTACGGATTGGAGTAGCAGCGGCTAGGACATACTAATGTTAAAACCTTTGGTTTTTGAGTTCAGTCTACGCCCAGAGAACAAGGTAGGATTCAGCCGGTGGGCTGCTACCAAGATCCAACGGGCGCTGGCCACAGTGTCCAAAATGCCGCAGCCCTGGAAACATTCAGGAGTTCCAACCTAAGTTAGGCAACCAGATTAGAAGAGGAACAGGTTGAGAGGCAGAACAGATCAGGATCAGGTAATCAAAAACACTAAGGAAGACTAAAAACACTCTCACCACTGACTAGAGAGAACAAATCTAATGGCCTTGATGATTGGGAGCAAGCCCCTTAAATAGAGGCATGAGCATGTGGATCAGATGAGCAGTGATTGGAAACCGGGCAAAGTTAGACAGGGTAATGAAATAAATAATTAAGCCAATCATCAGCTCTAAGAACATGACAGTTGATACTAATGCAAGGCAGTCTACTCCAATTTCCTACAACAGTCTAAATAAAATCCATGCATGGCTAGCTGAAAATTATGAACAGATTTATTACAGTTAGGATGCATTCTTCTTATGTCCCTGTACTATGATA